AGGCTTCGGCCAAATCAAAGAACGTCGACTCCGTGGCGATCATCACTTTGATGAGGTTCTCCTGGAACTTGTCCTGAGCCTCGGGCGTCAGGTCCGGGAAGCGGATGCCACCGCTGAAGAGGGTGGTGGCCGTCTCGGGCACTCTATACACCTTCCACCCCAGGTTCTCGAAGAATGTGGACAGTCGTGCCTGACCTGTCGTCTTACCACTACAGGGGCCGCCCGTCAGCACCAGCTTATAGACGATCCGCTCCTTACGCACACTCTCCTGGTCTGGACTCATGGCTCACCACTGATGGACTGATCCTATAGTAGATAATACACGAGAGATAAGTACATCTCGCATGTGATGACACGTCTGGCGATTGGCTCACAATTGGGACAAACGTTGCTCGCGATCGACAAATGAGAGGATGTGTCTCGTGTCTCCAGAATATAGTTCACCACGAAATGATGGTAACTGTTTCACTGTGTGATCACTATTTAAGCTAACAATTCATATGAAAGCAAATCATATGGTTTAGTGACTGCCATGTGATTGGCGCAAACGTTCAGTGCATTCAATGTCTATAGGAATCAAAACATTACTACAAATACTGTCGTAAGGAATCACTGCTACTGTAGACGAGACAGGAATTGCATTACAAATGCAATGCAATATGAATACGAATAGTGCTTTCGATACAGAATTTCATAGCATTTGTAAGCATTCGCTGCTTTGCTGAACATTTATATAGCATTCCATATATTGTATAATATATGAGTTATTAATATATAGGAATTGTATTGCAATACACGTATAGATGTATGCAATCACTCCATCTATGGGTCACTTCACTGCACGGCACACAACAGTCACGTGATTCACAGCACACACACACACCACCACCACTGCGATCACCACAACTGGTCCAACACTGCCCACTCGGACACACAATGGGCGACAATACCAGTGACATGAGTGACATGAGTGACCAGAGGGTCATTCTGTTCAGCGAACTCAGGGATGCCCTCATCGGCGACAAGAGGAGAGTGCGGGACAACATGTATGTGCCGATGATATTAGGCGGACAGGCCTTCAAGACTAAGGAGGAGCTGATGATCGAGAGGGCGGTCGAGAGCTGTGCCTTCAAGACGGGCTTGA